CAGCAAGCCCAGTCTCGCTGCTTCGGACAAAAAGAGGAATTTTAATTAACAAGCTCTGTTTTCTCCAGCACTCTCCCTGCCCCTCCAGCCCAGCTTTCTGAACCCTGCCAGGCTTTGCAGATGGATCTTCCATGTCTGGATGTGCCATGACAGATCTGGACCAGGCTGGCTGTGTGCCAGGGGCTGCAGTAGGGACACAGAGGGAGTTGGGGTGTCCCCAAGAACCAGAGGTGCATGTGAGTCCCAGAGGAACTAGACCAGGCCCTGTAGGAGTGGATTTTGGTGGAGTCACAATGGTCACTGTCCTTCTCAGTCAACGCCAGCAGTGTGCTCAGAGAAGAGCTGAGGTTTCGCAGCTCCTCTGTGTTTCCCTCATCTTTTCCTCCCTTTCCAAAGGCTGAAGCCTGCTGGCACAGGGAAGTGCTCTCTGCTTCCTTGGGAGCCATTTCTGGGTCCCAGCTCTGCATCAGGCTGCACATCAGCTGGAGGAGTGGGTGAGGAGGGCAGGATCCAGGCAATGCTCTGTTTCTGCATCCCTTCATGGAAGCTCAGCACGGAGGAAAGGGCTTAGGGGAGTATTTCTGCCTCCTCCTGGTCTGCCCTGATGTTTTGTTCTTCCAAAAGCAGTTGGCTCTCCAAAGATTTTTCCATCTAGCCTGGCAGGGCTGCTGGGCACAGGAGCGTGTGCCTGGCAGCAGCTTACACATATGCCAGCAGTTCCATTACTTGCTGGAACGGACCTCGGTCCACCCCTAGCAGCATCCCTGTGACCTCCAGGCAGCCCCTGGAGTGGGAACATTTATTATGACCATTTTGTCTCTTAATTAAAATGCTTTAATTGATTTTTAATAGTTCCCCTTTGGAAAAAAAAACCAAAGCAAACCAAATCAAATAATAACTCCATTAAGATCATTTTGTTAGGAAGCAAAACAGCTCCAATAATCCTGATGTTCCTGGCTCCTCTCAGCTGGTGGGTAGCTGCCAGTCTCCAGCAAAAGGAAACAGCCTGAGATGCAAACACAGGGACTGGCCACCAGTTGGTGGGTGAGATGGAGAAAAAGGCAAGGGAGTGTCCACTGGTGTCATGCCAAGACCTGGGCATTGAAGATAAATGGGACAAGGAAGCCACAGAAAAGGGGACAACCAGTGATAATCTGGAAGGTATAAAACCGGAGCCACTGCACGTGTGTCCAGCCCTCGCTGCTTCCGTCACCGGCGCGGCTCTGCCGAGAGCAAGGTGTGCCCTGGGGTGTGGGCTGAGCTGCTGCTGCACGTGGGTCAGGCTCTGTCGAGGAGGTGGTGGCTGTGCCACCTTCCTGGGCCCTGCCTGCTCCCCTGCTCCATTTCCCACTGCATCGGCTTTGAGATCCTCACTCCTGCCTTAGGAGTTGGGACCTCCCCTTGGTCTTTGGGGTTACCTTTGCAGGGCTGAGGGCAGTGGTGTTGTGGAGATCTGAGATCACCCTTAAGCAAACCCTCATCCCAACATATCCACCTGGTTTCCCCTCCTGCTGCTTAAAGTTACCTTCCTGCCCTCTTAGAGGTAGCTATATGGGCTCCATCATCACAGTCTCTGAGCCCAGCAAATTCACTTATAGGAATCATGGGCATAAATTTGTGCCCAGGTGGGCAAAAAGCAGGACTAGGGAAATGATTGTCCCCCTGTACTTGGCACTGGTGAGGCTGCACCCTGAGGACTGGGTTGAGTTGGGGGCATCTCAATACGAGAAAGACATCGAGGTGCTGGAGCAGGTCCAGAGAAGGGCAACTAAGCTGGTGAAGGGCCTAGAGCATAAGTCTTATGAGGAGCAGCTGAGGGAACTGGGGTTGTTTCATCTGGAGAAAAGGAGGCTCAGGGGAGCACTCCTCACTCTCTACAACTATCTGAAAGGAGGTTGTAGCGAGGTGGGGGTCAGTCTCTTCTCTCAGGTAACAAGCAATAGGTCAAGGGGAAATAGCCTCAAGTTGAGCCAGGGGAGGTTTAGGTTGGATATTAAGAAAACTTTCTTTGCCAAAAGGGTTGTCAAGCCCTGGACCAAGCTGCCCGGGGAAGTGGTTGAATCACCATCCCTGGATGTCTTTAAAAGTCATGTAGATATGGTGCTTGGGGACATGGTGTGCAGGCAGTGATGGGCTACTGCAGGCTGCTCTTTTGCTGGGCTCTGCAGGGCCCTGGGCTTGCAGCTGGCTGGGCAGATTCCTAGGAGCAGCTCCCAAGGGGGAATCACAACGCTTGCTCTGAGGAACGATGCAAGAACAAGCAGCCATTTATTATTCATTGCAATGTAATTGCTGCCACCTTTACCATCTTGCCACCATTATTTTAGGCTATTTGTTTAAGGAACTAGCTGAAGTGCAGGTGCTCTGCACAGAAAGCATTCTCCTTTCCCAAAGACAGGCTGTCCTGCAACATCTGGCTCACAGGACATGGGACGTATGGGAAGCCCACGAGCACCCAGTCAGCAGTGCCCCCATCTCACCTGGTACAAACTCACAGCAATTTGCTCCTCAGGAAGGGTGAGAGGGTCCTCAGCAGTCTTCCTCTAATCTGCAGGTTCGTTGAAGCCCTCTGCCTCCTTCTGGCAGTGGCAGGGCACTGTCCCCCAGCTCTGCATGCCAGGGAAAACACAATGCTCTGCAGACCACCCTCTTTGGGCAGAGTGATGACTTCTGTCACTGCTGACCAAGTGTGTGGTGGGAATGGGGGCCCTGCACACAGTGCTGGGGAGAGAGGGTCCATGAGGGGCCACATCCACCCCTCTCCACAGACCCCAGCAGCAATTCTGAGGCACGGAGCCTGCGAAGGAGCCGGTGACAGAGCTGGCTTTTCTCCTGCTGTGTTTGGACTGGCTGAAAACCCTGCCGTGACAACACTCTGCTGTTGCAAAGGCACCAAATGCCAGCCGTGGGCTCCAGACTGAGTCAGTCCTGGCTCCTCAGTTGGGCTCCCTGCTCCCAAAGCCATTTCCAGGCTGCCACTCCAGCCCCCCATGGCAGGAGGCTCACTGACGCCGGGGCTTTGGCTCTCGGGCCTCTTTGTGCCTGGGTGCTCAGCAACAGCTCAGCTTGTTCACAGCCTCAGCTGCCTGCCCCCTGGCACGTCCCTGCAGGAGCTCCCTCCTCTGCAAAGCCAAGGGGTGTCACCAGCACTGAGGGGACAGACAGGTTCTTTTAGGGATCCTTGGCAGAATGATGATGGAACTAAATTGTGGTTACAATTAAATCTTCATCTCCTTTACAGGGTATTATGATTAGTAGAGCACAGAATTTATGACTGGAATGGCACAGGATTTCTACAAGTAGAAACAATGTAGTACAATCTACAAGTAGTGTAGTAGAGTATATATAATTCTGTATGAGCTGGGAACAATCTTTTTAGTAGGGCCTGCTGCAACAGGAGCAGGAGTGACGGTTTCAAACTCAAAGAGGGAGATTTAGACCAGATGTAATAAAGACATTTTTTACACTGAGGGTGGTGAGCCCCCGGCTCAGGCTGCCCAGAGAGGTGGTCACTGCCCCATCCCTGGAACCATTCCAGGTGAGTCTGGCCAGGGCTCTGAGCAACCTGCTCTAGCTGCAGATGTCCCTGCTCACTGCAGGGGGTTGGGCTGGATGGCCTTCAAAGGTCCCTTCCCACCCAAAACATTCTATGACTCTAATATAACTTAAGATTTCTAATCACCTTATAATACAGAATTTATAATACAGCTTAATTTATAGTTTATAATCACCTGGACCCTCTGCAGATCAGGTCAAATCCTGATACATGATCTGCTCTATCAATACAACAAGCATAATCTAGACTTGACAATCCTATAAAAGAATACAAGTCACTCACTCAGTCCTTGGAGGAAGCAGAGGACAGTGGGGGTGTCCCTACCCACGGCAGCTCTCAGGTCTCACTGCCCAGCAGTTCCTCACTTAGGACCTGCAACTGCTTGATTTTACAGCCAGTGCTCTGGGTGCTGTTACACCCCCCTGTTCTGTGATGGGGTCATCAATAAGACCAGGCTGGCTGGGTGCCTGGGACCTTTAAGGCTGGCAAGGAAGGGAGTAATCATCCTGGTGCCCAGGAACTTTAAGGCTGGCAGGGAGGGAAAAAAGAAAAGTGTTTGGTTTGTCTCCTTGGTTCACAGGACCTTCAGGGCCTGACAGTGATGGAAAGGTGGGATACAAGACCCACCTGGTCACAGAGAGTGGCTGCTTGCTTCACAAAATGGTGTTAGTGGCAATAACCACATCACCAGGGGTCAGGAGCAGGGGTACTGATCTCGAGTGGTGGCATCACTTGGAGGAGCAGTGTCAGAGACTCACACAGACACAAGGTGACAGATATTGTCACCAGGAGAAGTGAGAAATGAGAAATTGAAAAAAACTGGTGCACAACCTGGAAATAAATCGTTATGGGGAGGTGGAGAAAAGCCCCTTGAATTTGAGCATGTTCTGTTGGTTTCCTCCTTTTTAAGGCACTAGGACTCAGGGCATTTTTGCAGGCAAATGAAGCCCATCAAGGATGACTGACACTGTCACCGATTTCTTCTGTCAGCCCCAAGAGGTCCCCAGGTTTTGGCTTGTTTGAAGCAGCTTCTCAGTTTTGCAAAGAAGCAGGAGAGGCAGTGTGCAAGGGGCTCCATGAGCAGGAGGCATTTTCAGGAGCTATTGGTCTAGCCCTGGTTGGCTGAGGAGTTTTTCCCCCTTTAATTCAAATAAACAGAATCTCAGAAACTTGTGTGAAAAGTTGCTTTTCCCTCTGACCTTTCCTTGGGGAAGTGGCATTCACACGACCAGGGGCAGTGTATGAGAGCAGAAAGGAAGGAGATGAGGTAAGGGAGAAGGAAAGAGGATGCCACTGCTGATGCTGCTTGGCCCAAAATGCCACATGGAACGTGCCCTTCAAGTCTCAGTTCTTGCAGATGCTCTGCTGTCTCCTGTGCTCTTACTTCTGCTGTGTCTGTGTTCCAGACCACCTTCTCCTCCTGACGGAAAGCCTCAGGCCAGGCATGGGACTGTTGGAGGGAGCCAACAGCACCCTCACCATGGAGAAGACAGCGTTAGATGAGAAGTTGCCACAGGGCTGGCATGCCAAGGAGTTTGTCACTCCTGGCCAGGATCTCTCTGGGTCTCGCAGTGTTATGATGGACAGCACCAAGATCCTGGGGGTCCAGGTCGTTCTGATCACCGCCTACTCCCTCATCATTCTGCTGGGGTTCATCGGCAACTCCTTGGTCATCTACATCATAGTGAAGTACAAGACCATGAGGACTGTCACCAACTTCTTCATAGCTAACCTGGCCCTGGCAGATCTGATGGTGGACACACTCTGTCTGCCTTTCACCCTAGTGTACACGTTGCTGGACGAGTGGAAGTTTGGGGCTGTTCTTTGCCATCTGGTCCCTTACGCTCAAGCTCTGAGTGTCCACGTGTCCACTCTCACCCTAACTGTGATTGCCCTGGACAGGTATCGGTGCATCGTTTTCCACCTGGACAGCAGGATTTCCAAGAAGCTCAGCTTCACCATCATAGCTGTCATGTGGCTAGCAGCAGCTGTCCTAGCAGGTCCTCTGGCCATCTTCCGAGAGTACAGGTATGAAGAAATCCCATCCATCAACCTCAAAATGGCTGTCTGCTCAGAAAAATGGCCTTCTGGTAATAACAGAGATGCCACTATCTACAGCCTCTCCATGCTCCTCCTGCAGTACGTTTGTCCTCTTGCCATTATTTGTTATGCCTATACCAGGATCTGGTTCAAGCTGAAAAACCACGTCAGTCCCACGGCTAGGAACGAAAACCAGTGCCGGCGGAGGAAGACAACCAAAATGCTAGTGATGGTCGTTGTGGTGTTCGCTGTCTGCTGGCTACCCTTCCACATATTCCAGCTTGCCATTGACCTTGATCTGGTTCTTGTCTTCCACGAGTACAAACTCCTGTACACTGTCTTCCACGTCGGGGCCATGTGCTCTACGTTTGTCAACCCCCTGCTCTACGGATGGATGAACAAGAACTACCGGAACGGCTTCCTGATGTTCTTCCGTTGCCAGCACAAGCCAGAGAGCATCCACACCGAAGGCTCGGTGAGAGGGAGGTCCTACATCTTCAGGGCCAACACGCTGAACGGCAGCATCAAACAGACTCCCGGCAACGGACCGCTGCCCACGGAGGTCTAGGGAGGGGACACCCACCTCTGGGACTGAGGCCGGCTGAGCCCAGAGAGGTTCTCGAGTGAAGGCCTTTTTTTGGTGGAACATTGTGTTGCAAAAACATTATAGGTACCACAGCCACATAGAAATACCTCCTGTAGCTCTCAAACCAATAAATCTGGTGTATTTCTGTCTGACCAAACAAATGAATTTTTCTTTTCTCTGCATTCAAGTTATGCATGCTGAAGCATGATAAACTGCACACAGAGGCTTTCATTTAGCCAGCAAAATACGCCCTTTTTGCTATTTTCATTTGCCAAAGTGGGTTGCTCAACCTTTTACCCCCTGACATATTACACATTACAAACGGAGAACCTTTATTGTGTGTGCTTGTTCATCTGTACATCTCTTCCCTGAAAGCCTTAATGGTGCCTCTTTAGCTAATGCCTCCGAGGGGAGGGAGACCTTCACTCTCCTGCAGACGTGGGCTGGTTGGTGCCGTCACTCCGCCGGCCTGGGGAGGGAGAGGGCTGGTGCAGGTCGAAGCTGGGGAATCCATGATCTCTTGCACAGCGTTTGCATGAATCCTCACTGGCCACCCATGGGGTAAGCGCTGATCCTCACAAAGCCCAGGAGGTGGCAGTGCCACGACTTACCACCGTTTGCTTTACAAGTGCCAAAGGAAGGCTTTGGGGACACCTCTTCAGCCAGGGAGCTTGTGAGCCAGCATCCTGCGTGTCACAAGGAGGAGAGCAGGCAGAGGCAGACAGGACAGCACAGAGCTGGGGCTGCTGGAACGAAACTGAACCGAGGGGATGGAGATTTCCTTCAGACTTTAAGATGTGGCTCCTGCCATGCAATAACTTGGCAGGTGGCAGCATGACCAGAGAGGCAAAGCTGCCAACGACATCATTCTCTGAGGTACTCAGAGGGTTTCTTAAAGCTTTGCTCTTTGGAGGGTTGGAGGTAACTTGGGTCTGTACGTGGGTGCTGCAGTTCAGATGACAGAGGTAAACCACTTGCATGGTTGTCACAGATGTGGAGTCCTCTGGCAGAAGAAGACATGGAGACAATAGAAGATGTATTCTTTCAAACCAAACTATATGTTCTGCTCCCTAAGGCTGTGTCAGCTGGGGAGCTTATTTTTAGCTCTGCCATCAAAGGAGCCTTGATTGCTACTGTGATCCAGCTCGTCATTGGTGTCGTCTCTGAAAGTCAGTGTTCATCAGATTGGAAAGTAACTCCCAGATGCAGGGAAGAGACTCAACAGACTTCCTCGTTAAAGATAAAAAGAAAAGAAAATCTTTGATTTGTAGGTCTTCACTGGAGCAGGGACAAGAGGTAAGAGGACTTCCAGCACTGAGTACACCAGCCCCCATCAGGCTGCTGGGTTGTCACATCTGGAGTCCTCAGGAGATGAATTGTCAAAGGGCCTAGTTGAAAATCTGGCTCTCCTGCCTCCTCCCCAGCTTGACCTGCCTCTGGCCCTTGTTCTTCAGCTCAGCTTCCAACTGCCACATTAGATTTTAATCTCTGTATTTATTTCTACTCTCTGATCCTCTGCTCAGTTTTCCTGAATAGGTAGAAGAAAGTGGTCTCTGTTTCCTTGCTGAGAGACATCACTGCCAGGCAGAGGCTGCAGACTGCTCTCCACACTTGGAGGCATGGGCACAGTGAGGTCCCATAACCTCCCCAGCACCTGAGCCTGCAGATCATGGCCTGGCTTTCTTTTCAGGGAGCTTCAGGATCTATGAAGATCCTGCCAGGATCTTCAGGATTGATGTTCCAGTAGAAGGGCCATCTTCTTCCTGACAGGCCAAGACATGATGGGAGAACCAAGACACAAGTAAATCTCCCCCATGTGCAGTGCTGTGGCAGTGGGAATTTGCCATTTCATCGTGATGGAAGGAGGAGGATATCCTCCTCCACAGCTCCAGTAAATTCTGTCCCAACCTAAGGAGCTGGTCATTGCTACAACTCCTCCTCCTGAGGAACACTCCCCACGTTACCATCGAACTCCAAGATACAAGGAAATGCTTGTGTTTCAAAGCCAGCTTAAGTGAGTGGAAAGAATTCAACTATTACCAATAAACACTTCAGAAAGTGATTTAACACTCAATAATGTATGTCAGGGTAAAATAACACATTCAGCAATGCAAGCTTGGAAGACAATCACACTGCCAGCTTAGATGGATGAGGAGCTAAATTGATCTTCTAGGGACCCTGCCAAAGGTTTTGTCCTGTGACAGCACATACGGTATCTGACTGCAGAGCAAGGCAGATAATGACATTATGAATGACTGTTTAATTTTAAGACCAGACTCTTAAACTAAATATGGTTAAATAAATAAATAGATCCCAGCTCTTCACAAATAAATACTGGCAGTGACATTTATGGAGCAGAGGGATTTTTATGCTGGAGCAAACTGAGAAGGAGAAACTATTTACTTGAGGTGTAACAGCAGAGTTCTGTTGGCTTTATTTAATACACTTGCACAGCTCTACGGATGGATTTCTTCCTGTGAGCTTGCTGATTTTTCCCTGCCACTGGAGAAAGTGACAACCTCCCCCACGCACTGCTGGCAGGGAGCACAGCTCTGAGTTGGGTACACATGTCCTTGTGGAAAACCACGATGCCTGTGCTGGGGGAAAGTGACCCTGATGTCCACTGCCAAACAGAGCATGAGCAGGTGAAGAACGAGGAAGCAAAGCTTCTTACCAAAGCTTGTTTTGGGCAAATAAATAGTATATTATAGACTGTCATGGCTGCATAGAAGATGGGAATCAGTTTACTTCTGTGAAACGAATCTGTTGGAGATGAAGGATCCCCAAGTATTAACACTCCACTAAAGATGGCCTTACTGCCATGATCAGTTCCACGAAACCAAAGACCAGAAGCATTTAAAGTTTTTGAAGTATTTGGAGCTCAGAACCCTGTTCTACTGATGCCAAGGGCAGATCCTGTAGTAGATATTCTTGGAGTCAAAGGCAGCTTTCCACTGCCTGCTCCTTGCCAAAGGTGCATCAGTGAATGCCCACCCAGCTGGGCTCCCCTCTGTGGAGCTGGCCCTGGTGTCACTGACGTGGGCACAACAGCTGACAGGGATAAGGGATCTCACTGCAGAGCTGGAAACACAGGGACAACAATGAGAATGAACAAGTGTTTCATCAAAGCTTTCAGCAAAGTGTTGTTCCTGGTGACTGAGTGAGTTTCCTGATTCTTGCTGGCATCCTTCTCAAAATGCTGCTTCACTGAACTGATCAGAGGCTATTTCACAGCTTTTAGGAGGGAGGTTTTGAATTGTCTGAGAGCAACCCTGTTTCTCATGCTAGGACACTCCTCCTGGTCACGTCACACAAATCTGGTGTTACAGAAAGTACCACTGAACTGTTCTTAATTGCTGAGCGATCCCTAGCTGATGATTAACTCTGAACAGACACCACAGGTGGGGATGCCTCTGACTATCCCATGCAACCATTTCTCACATGCCAGACAAATACACCAACAGCTGAGTCGTGGCAACCTCATCGTTTAAAAACAGCAGTGTCAGTAACTCTTGTTCCCTCTCACAGGCTGCTCTAAGAGCTCCCATGAATCCCAAAGTCTCTTCTCAAACTGCCAGGCTTGACAAAGCAACTTGAAATCTGCAGAGCAAAGGCTGTCCTTAGCACACAGCACTACAAATTTTGCCTCTAGTTTGCTCTGAAAAGCCTTTCCCATTTGATTTCCAAAGCACATAGGTCTGTAACAAGCTAGTGCACGTAAGGAGAGCAAAGGTTTGGGCTGTTTAGTTTTCCTTGTCTTACAGCAATGCATACAGCCCGTGTTTAGATCAGTGCAGGGTGAGCTGGGTCCTTTGGTCAGGGCTCTGTTAGAATCAGAGATGTGACACACTCCTGCTTGTCTGTGCTTCCTCCTGCTCCTGCAAAGGCCAGATCCATCCCCTCATGGCCCTCTGCCCTCTGGTAGCTTGTGCCCTCTCCCATTACCCATGGCACCCCAAGCGAACCATGTCAAATTCCACATGTTTTATTCAATATGCCCACAAATGTATCAGCAGAAACATTGCTCTGAGCTTCTCACAAAGGCCCTGCAGGGAAACTGGGACTAGCAGACCAGCAAAGAAGTTCCTCTAACATATGCTAATACAAGAGGGGCTGGAGTGCTGTTCTGCAGAAGGAGGTCACGGGCTGCCCAGTGGTTCCCTTGATATCAGATGTTAATCTTACCACTGTCACAGCCAACATAGTCTGAAACCAAATTAGCCTTTGTTTGGGCAGGAGCTGTGCAGCTGGTGCTTTCTTTGCATGCCTTTTGTTTTTTGCCTCTGTTATTGTGGGACTTCACCAGGCTCTCCAAGCGTGCTGGGGTTTAACTAAGGCCTCAGGGTCAGCTAACCTGGTGAAAATCAGGCATTGCTGCAATAATCCAGAAAAAAGAAAAGACTCTGGGTTTAGATGGGTGAGCAGAATTTGGTCCCTTTCATTTGAAAAAAACAGAACTTTTTCTTCCTTTCGGTTTTCCCTTATCTAGCTTGAGATTCTTCAAGTGCCAAAAATAATACTGCATATTACTGCCAGAACATTTATCTCCTCTTTGAGCTCATTTCGGAGAAGGGATTTGTTCAGGAGGGCCTGGGAGGGGAAGCAGGCTAGGTTTTTAAAGCTCATCCCTATCTCTAGTCTCAATGTTTTATAAGTTAAAAGACAAATCAGAAGAAGACAAAGTCACTCACACACGCCAAGGGAGGTAGCAATTTATCTTCAGCCAACACAACCTCTATTTAATTTTCTATCCAGGCACCCCAGCACCCCTTGCTGAAGTGTTGTATGTCTATGGGGCTGAACGAGGTGGTGGGAGGGAAGCATTTTTCTGCTGCTAATAGCAATACCTTAGTGTCACTCATGATTTATAGCCAGCAAAGAATGTTTTTTCTGGCCTGTGTTCTGCTCAGTGTAATGAGTACAGAAGCAATAGTGCAGATGCCTCATGGAGCTCACAGGAGGAGATCTTCATTAGTTCTGTC